ACTGACACACAAGATTAGAGCACAATAATTTTGGTATCTTAAATAATAGGAGTTCTACTAGCTGAGCAATTCTTATATGTCAGAACATTAATTTATTATTACAACTCTGGAAGGTATATTTTATTCCATTTCTACAAATGAAGAAAAACTGGCTCTAGAAGTTAAGTCACTTTCAAAATCAAACAGTTAATCATTGGTGACTCCATAATAATTTGGATGGACGCTTTACTTTAAAAGCTTAGTTTAGGACCCCATAGCCTGATTGTTAAAGGAATTTAATCCCATGTGGGATCCCATGTTGACCATATGGTTTAAATCTCAGACCAAGTTAGTTTGAAAAACACACCAGGTACATGTGCATGTGTGCCCCAAATCCCAACAGGGTTGAGAAATGGAGAAGGGATTTTGGCATAACCAGACTCCATGGGAGGAGCAGTGTCTTCTCTCTCCCTCTCTCTCTCTCTCATCTCTGGTGAGGGCCAAGCATCCTCGGACAAATTAAAAAAAGAAAAGTTTACTTCAAGCAAAACTCCATTTTCATCTCACTAGAATTTGAATGTTTCATTTAATATGAGTTACTGAAACTTAGGATTCTCCACCTTTGCAGCCAATGTACTTTAGTCTTAAATATAACCTAATTATTTATGCATTTTACACAGTGAATATATTAAATGCTTTTGAAATATTACAATGTGTAATTTTAGAGCAGAAATAAACTTTAGTAATTTTTGTCCCATCCCCCCCCTTTTTTTTAAAGTAATAAAAAAGAAGGTAAAACATATCCTAGTTTCCACTTACATGGTAATAAAATTAAGATCCCTCCCCTTTTTTTAAATAAAAAAGAAGGTAAAACATATCCCAGTTTCCACTTACATGGTAATAAAATTAAGATTAGAATCAGGTCTTCTGAGATTAGTCAAGTGGTAGTTAAGATGGCTGGATCCCACATGCCTGAATGCTGTTAAAAGTTATAGACATGGTGATTTTAAAAGACATGCTAGGCATGTGTGCATGTGTGCCCCAAATCCTGAGAGGTACAGTGGAGGAGAAAGGATTGTACTGTGGCCATCCCCCATGAAGATGGGTATCTCTCTCTGGTGAATACACATTTCTGTAGCAAACTAAAAAAACAAAAGCCTCAGGTCTCCTGATTTCCAGTCTTATTATTTATTTATGAAATGATTACAATAAAAAAGTACCATTCTTTAATGTCCATGGTGATCACTGAGTTATTTTAAATAACGTTTTAAAAGCACATTACTTACTGAAATTCTAGTAGAATTTTGCATATGTAATATATATAAGAAAATATTACAACGGTACAATAAAAAGTTAATAACTCAATTCTCAAGACTTATTAGGAAGGCCATTTCCTTACTGTAATACAATTGTGAACACTCTTATTTATTTAGGAAGTATATGGATTCACACAACAGTGGATGATGCCGTTCAGTGTGAAGAGAGGCTGGAGAGCAGTGTGAGCCACAAGAGAGTAGCAGCAACTCTGTTGCTGCTGGTGTTTGTCCAAGAATGTGTTAAAAAGGCTCTAACTTAGAGCTATTGCCAGTCCTTGACACAAAGTATGAAATGAACAAAAGAGAAGTAACTTGTGCCAATCATTTGTTGCCTTCAAGAGCTAACCACCAATGCCAAGAAAACAAAGCTACTGGCCAGCCTTACATCGCCCTGGCTAAAAGTTCTGCGAATCTTATGCAACAACCATCAGCAAACTGACAACTGAAATACTGAGGAATTTGCAGCCTTAAACATTGACTTATGTTTTCAGTGACAGAATAACAAACCATGTTTGTCGGGAACCAGCAGTTAGCATAATGGCTATGTCGCTGGACTCCCACGTAGTCGACCACGGTTCGCGTCCCGGACCCGGTGACTTAAAACTCACGCCGGGCACGTGTGTGTGCGTGCCCAAGATCCCGAGAGGAGAATGGATGAGAAAGGATTGTGGCAGGACCATTCCCTCTGGGGGGTGACTTCTTGCTTTCTGTCTCTATGTCTCTCTCTGTCTGTCTGGTAAGCGCACGCGACCTATGGCAAAAATCTCTCAAAAAAAATAAATAAATAACAAACCATGTTTGTATCACGACACCCATTTCTTTCCCAGTCTTTGGGAAGCATGAATTGGGATTGTTGCTTTAACCCACTAGTCTAAAGATAACCAGTATCTTCATGAGGATGGTTAGTCAAGAGGACATAGGGCCTTTGAAGATTCCTACACCCAGAGAACAAGAACGGTCACAGTGAGGTTATTTATTATTCTCCCTGGTTTTGAAAAAAAAAATTATTTAAAATTTGTTACAAGATGTGTGTGCTTGCTGTAAAGATAGAGAGAAAGAAAGAGGGAAAGTGAGAAATCATTCCCATGTGGGATGACCATGCTGTATTGCCCTTTCTTCCTTTTTTCTTTCAGGATTTTGGGCATGCACTCACATGCACCTGTGTTTTTCAAGCTAGGTTCAGGACTTGAACCACATGATCATCCATGAGGGATCCAGCCACATTAACCACTACACCATTGGCTGGCCCCTAGACTTTTTAAATGTATAATTAAAAAAGAAAAGAATACAAAAAAAAAAAGAGGACAGAACTGTGCCCACTGTATCTGAGGATGCTGCTGACAAAGCTAGTAAGATAGACATGTACTATAATAAATGACTTGTAATGATTACAGGCATCAAGGCTTACTACAGAAAAACACACACAAAAAGGATTACTATAGTTCAAGGTAGCACAGGACTTCACCTATTTTTTGCAAATAAAATTAATATCCGTGCTGATATGTCTCCTGAATTTAATACCTTTCCAGAATTAAAACATAAGAACTCTATCTTGAACACTAAATTAAACCTTCAGATGTCTTAACATAATACAAAGCAAATTATTATTTTCCTTTCTATAATTAGCGTTCCTCCTCATTATTATTATTTACTTTGTCAAAAGGCATGCATTCTCAGGAAAGAGAGAGAGAAAGAGCAAGACAGCATCCCTCACGGGGCATGGTCAGGCCACGGTCCCTACTCCACATGCATTTGGCATGTTTTTTAAGCTGCCAGGTCCAGGACTTGAATGCAGTTGGCTATGTGAAACTCAGCTGCCTTAACCACCAGGTCATGGGCTGGCCCATGCTACTATGCTTTTCAAAAGGCACAATGTCAAGTGTACTAGGGTTTTTGGCATTTCGTTTCTGGCCTAGTTCAACTGATCTTAAGTTTAATGCTTTAAACTCAAGAGTTTTTGAGTTCAGTCTCAATAATTAGTATGAGTATGGCAAAAATTAGTTGAAAAGAAATTTATCAATAGATTTTTTTATAAAAAATATTTAAGTTACAGAAATGTTTTGAGCTTTGCTTTTTTTACCTAGGTAAAACCTTATTGGTCAGCATAATGTATCCTGCTACAAGCACCAACAGCCCTCTGTGGTCTCAGACAATGAGGGCTTATTCTTGCTCCCATAAAATTTTAGCAGGTCAAGAGGGGTCTTCTTCTATACAGAGTTGAGGGACCCTCAGTCCTGCAATCTTGTGATGCCAGCATGTACCCTCCAAAGTTGCT